CAAGCCCAGTGCCTTGACAACCTAGGTCAACCTGGACCAGGATGTCGTCATTTGTTCAAGCCGGGTTCATGCTGTCCATATGCTCAAGCCTTGATGTACATAGTATCCCTTCCTTGTATAGGAAAGCTGTATGGTATTGAATTAGGGTATAATAGATGCACACTATAGTATTTATTTTGGGTATATTCTCTGGTGATTTTCATCTCGTAAGTGGTAATTTCAGACGATACATTCACGAATTTATACTTAAACTATATTTCGGGAGATGTTATAAATTATATACTGTAAATGAATGTGCCCTTTCATCTTATCCATTAATACACATCCCTAAACAGCACAGGAAACACAACTGATGCAGGATGCTCTCTCTCTCTCCCTCTCTCGCACTCTCCCTCTCCCTCTCCGTCTCCCTCCCTCTCCCTCCCTTCCCTCTCTCAGAAGACCAGACTTCTCCCCGGGACCAAAGAGACATAGTGACCTGTTCTTGGGAAAATAAAACATATCTCGAAGGCGACCGGATGACCTCGCATGAACATCCTTGCCATGTGTGTGTGTGTACGTCATCTTACACCAACGCTAATGGGTTTGGCTGTTATAAGATGAACTGTGAGCTGGAAAGGTTAGTGATTATTATTATTATTACGTTTTTTCGTGGTTTTGGAAGGTTATGTATGGGATAATGGTGAAGCAGAGAATAAGATACGTAAATATTTGATTTTTTCCCCTATATGTGAGATATATACTGAGTTTGTTGATATGTGAGACGCGTGGAAAGAGGAAGTATTTAGGAAAGTGTTTTGAAAAGATTTTGTGTAAATCTATTTTTTTTTTTTTGTTATTTTTGGAAATGTAAAATAAAATCATCTCCAATTTTTCATCAGTATTTAGCATCTCAAATTAAGCAGTAATTCAATTTTTTTTACATACACTAAAAGTGCTTGTTTGATAAACTCACATTGCAGGTATATTTCAAAGTTGCAAAGAGGCTGCACTCCAATTTACTCTTTGGAAAAATGCTGCCCAACTAGCTGGCTGTGTCGTAAGTTTATGTTGTTTTGTTTTCATTTATTTGTTCTTTTTTGTATTTGTATATTAATGCACAGCGGTATTACACACGCACAAGCACATGTACACGCACGCACACAAACACACACACACACACACACACACACAAACACACACACACACACACACACACACACACACACACACACACACACACACACACACACACACACATACACACAAACACAAACACACACATTTTGACTGTATGTGTGCATGTATTTGACTGTGTGTCTGCATTTCTCTAAGTGTCTCACAATAAATGAATCTTTTCATGCACCGAGAACATTGACAAACAACGATCCACAATTTCTTTAAGAATCTGTATATGCTATTTATCGGAAGAACAACGAAGGAAAGTACAAGAAAACAAACAACGATCCACAATTTCTTTAAGAATCTGTATATTCTATTTATCGGAAGAACAACAAACACACGAATATACCTCTTCGCATTTACTGTTTCATCAGGGCCTTCGGCATATTCCTGTGTTTTCCTGTACTTCCCTTCGTTGTTCTTCTTGCAATTAGTGTGACATGAATTCCACAAATGCTATTTGTCACACCCAGTCTAACCGTTACTCCAATCCCTCTATCTATCTCTACAGCCAATGACACACGCATCGACATTAAATCGTTCTTAGGAGTACTGGACTTAGGGCGAGGTAAGTTACATGCAGGTGACGTAACATATATGATATATAATATATTGATTCTTTACTCCCTTCCTTCCTTCCTTCCTGCCTGCCTGCCTTCCTGCCTGCCTGCCTGTCTGCCTTCCTTCCTTCCCTCCTTCCTTACTTAGTTCCCTCCTTCCTTCCTATCTATTTATAGATAGATAGATAGAGATAGATAGATAGATAGATAGATAGATAGATAGATAGATAGAGAGAGAGAGAGAGAGAGAGAGAGAGAGAGAGAGAGAGAGAGAGAGAAAGCGAGATAGATAGATAGATAGAGAGAAAGAGCTGTTTGTTTTTACATGTTTTTTTTTATTTATCTTTCTTATCATTTTTATCTTACGATTACATGTTTACTTTTATCTTAACTTATCATCCATATCTCGGATTTTTTTTCTTCATATTTACCATTTCTTTGTCTTTATCATTATCTTTTTTATCTCTATCATTATCTATTTTATCTCTATCATTATCATTGTTTATCTTTATCATTGTCTTTTTTATCTATATCATTATCTTTTATATCTTTATCATTGTCTTTTTTATCTTTTTATCACCTTTTTTTCTTTATCATTTTTATTGTTATCATTATCTTTTTTATCTTTATCATTATCTTTTATATCTTTATCATTACCCTCTTTATCATATTTATCGTTTTCTATCTTTATTATTCTTAATTATTTTCTTCTTGCTTGTTCCCTTCATTATATTTTTTATTCTAATCATTATTATGTTTTTTTTCCTTTTATTCAATTTATCTATTATTTTGTTTTATTCTATCTTTCCATCACATTTTCTTTTTTACTTCTTCACCTTTATTTTGATTTGATTATTCATTTATTTTTTGTATTCTCTTTTCTTTCCTTGTTTTCTTTACATAACACGTATCTATTTATCAGATCCGACCCAATTCGCGTGCCGCCTCGGTGAAATGATCACTAACATCGGTTTTAAGGTCAAAATCGGCAGAAAAAAGATCAAATGCAGGTGTATCACTCCGCCTGACCTGACCTGCTTTCGATACAGGTCACGCGCGGAGGCTAAGAAACATTCCAAGATTAAGGGAGGTAGGTCGAGAGTATTCTTGTCTCGTGGGGGTTTGGAATGGATGTTAGGGTGTTTGTGTGGGGGAGGGGAGGGGGGGAAGGGTGAGGAGGAGAGGGTGAGGAGGAGGGAGGGAGGAGAGGGTTGAGGAGGAGAGAGCGAGGAGGAGAGGGAGGGAGGGAGGGAGGGAGGAGAGGGTTGAGGAGGAGAGAGTGAGGAGGAGGAGGGAGGAGAGGGTGAGGAGGAGGGAGGGAGGGAAGAAGATAGGGAGGAGAGGGTTGAGGAGGAAGGAGGGAGGGAAGAAGATAGGGAGGAGAGGGTGAGGAGGAGGAGGGAGGGAGGGAGGGAGGAGAGGGTGAGGAGGGAGGGAGGGAGGGAAGAAGATAGGGAGGAGAGGGTGAGGAGGAGGAGGGAGGGAGGGAGGGAGGAGAGGGTGAGGAGGGAGGGAGGGAGGGAGGAGAGGGTGAGGAGGAGGAGGAAGGGAGGAGAGGGAGGGAGAGGATGAGGAGGAGGGAGGGAGGGAGAAGGAAGGAGAGGGAGGGAAGGAGGAGAGGGAGAGAGAGAGTGAAACGGGAGGAGAGGGAGGGAAGAAGATAGGGATGAGAGGGTGAGAAGGAGGGAGGGAGGGAGGGAGGGAGTATGGGGTGAGAAGGGAGGAGAGGGAAGGAAGGAGTTAGGGAGGAGAGAGTGAGAAGGAGGGAGGGAGGGAGGGAAGGAGTTAGGGAGGGAGAGAGTGAGGAGGAGGTTGATGAATAGATGGGATGGGGATACGGGGGGGGGGGGATGGAGGGACGGAGATAGGGTGAGAGTAAAGAGAGAAAGAGAAAGAGATGGAGAGGGAGAGAGAGAGAGAGAGAAGATGAGGGAGGGGAAGAGGGAAAGAGGGCGGGTGAGAGAGAGAGAGAGATTGCTCGTGATATCTATAAAACATTTTCATTATGCTTTGATATAAATTACACACACACACACACACACACACACACACACACACACACACACACACACACACACACACACACACACACACACACACACACGCGCGCGCGCGCGCGCACACACACACATATATATATACATACACATATATATACATCACCACACTGAATATTAATCTATTCCTTCACTTAAGCAGATGCTTGTCCCACACCGTCTTGCAACCCCGGGTGCAACCTAGTCTTAAACAACGCAACGGGATGTTTAGAATGTTCTTGCACAATGAACACTCTTACCTGCAACGTAGAGGAGTGTCCTGGGAATTGCAGATACGGGATCGACGTCAATTTAGGCTGTCCAACTTGCACTGACTGTGTGTAACGTCGTTTTGATAATGCAAGATGATATCTTCGTTATCCTTTTTTTTTTGTTTTATTAGGATTAGTATTATTTCTAGATGTATGTGAATGTACTTGCGTGTGTTATAGATCTTTCTGCTTTTTTTTGTGTGGGAGATGAGGATGCCAAAAAAGTATGTATGAATTCATGATTTTCAGTCATAGTAAACATAGCAATAAAATGTACTTATGAATAATCAAATTTATTCCGATACAAGTGATACTTTTAGGTTAATAAGCAAATATCAATAAAGCATAGAAAGTCAAATGTTTATTAATCTCCTCATTAATATTATATAATATTTACCTCACAATATTTTTTTTTTCTTTTTTCTTCACAAACACTTCAGGGTTTTTTTCTTGCACATTATGTTTATGAAATGTATATTGTATATATCACTCTATATATTTCTTTTATATTAATCCTGTGTGTTTGAATGCTCTCGTGTTTTATTTCTTTTTTTCTTTTCTTTTTTTCTTTTTTATTGGCCAGCCATTCTGCGTCTGAAGCTTGCATGCTTTGGTCAGAGTAACGATCAAAAAATGTATAGATAGATTAAGGAGAGATAGATAGATAGATAAGATAGATAGATAGAGAAAGAGATATAGAGATAGATAGAGATAGATAGATAGATAGATAGATAGATAGATAGATAGATAGATAGATAGATAGATGGATGGATAAATAGAAAGAGAGAGAGAGAGAGAGAGAGAGAGAGAGAGAGAGAGAGAGATAAATAGATAGACAGACAGACAGATGAATAGATAGACAGATAGATAGATATGTACAAAAAGAGAGACGGAAGTGTGTGTGTTTGTGCGTAAATTTCAAACAAACAAACAAACGTTGGTGACCCTGATCGCTTTTTTCCAGCCTAAAAATTCTCACAAAAAGTGATCAGGATGAGACAGACAGACAAATAGTTAGAGGAATAAATAGATAAATATATTGAGATAGATAGATTGAGAGATGGATATATATGTATAAATAGATGGACAGATAGATAGATATATAGATAGATAGATGATAGATAGATAGATAGATAGATGGATAGATAGATAGATAGATGGATAGATAGATAGATAGATAGATAGAGAGAGAGAGAGAGAGAGAGAGAGAGAGAGAGAGAGATAGGCAGATAGATAGGTAGATAGATAGATAGATAGATAGACAGACAGACAGATAGATAGATAATAAAATGAATGATGAAAAGGCAGATTCCTTCACTATTCA